GACTGTCTGCCCCCCCAGCCCTACCTTTGCTTGCTCGTGGTAGCTGCCACTTGCCAGGACAGGAACCAAGCATTTGGTGTCATTTCTCTAATGCTGGGTTATCCCTTTTCTTTTTTTGCCTTGGCTTTTGCAGAGGATTCCAGTACTGAAAGTGTTGGCTAGGGATAGCTTTTGTGGGTGTTCTCCAGCTGAAATTCGCAGAATGGAGAAGATCATCCTGGATAAACTGAACTGGGATCTTCACATGGCAACGCCACTGGATTTCCTTCATATTGTAAGTAAAGGGCTACTGATGCTCTTTCTGGTGTCTGTCAGTGCACATAATCTGTCAAGAAGCACCTAGACAAAAATTCTACCTGTAGGGGAACAGACCTTGGAATATATTTGTAATTCCTCTGTACCTGTAGTTTCTGAAAGAAAATGCCTTGCCAGAGAATTCCAGAGGAGACCCATCATCTTGAAGTGCAAGATGCAAAATGTGGGCCTGCTTTCTGACCCTTTGGCCTGGTCTGGGGTTTGTTCAGCTACAGATTCACAGCCCCTGAAAACAGTGCCCCTAACTCTTCACTGCTAATGGTTTTGCTCAAAGCTAAGCACCAGGGAGCAAGGAAACAAGGAGTGCAGCCATGGAGAAAGCCCCAGGGGTGGGCTGTGAGTGTGGATCCATGCCTGCTGCAGGCCTGCATGGCCAAGAGCCAGATCCACGTGTGAAAGGAGATCGGGGGAGGTGTCCTGAGGTTCGTTGTGGAATTTTATCCTCACTCCTTGCCTGAGGAGTTTGTCTGGGACCCCTGAATGCCAAGTGTGCGCTGTAGAGAGAAGGGTGGATGGGAAGGGAAGGCCTTTTGCAGAGCCCTAGAGCCTGGTGCCCGAGCAGGTCCCACCAGCCAGGCTGCAGCAAGCCGTGGTGGGTTCAGCACACGGTGTTTTTCCCCACGGGGTGGAAATTGTCTCCAGGGCTGGGCTGGAGGATCCTCGTGTGCTCGCAGGGCCCAGCAGCTGCCCCCTGTGCTTGTGTCCCGCAGTTCCACGCCGTGGCCGTGTCCAGCAGGCCGCAGCTCCTGGCGCTGCTGCCCACGCCGAGCCCCTCGCAGCACGTGGCGGCGCTCACCAAGCAGCTGCTGCACTGCATGGCCTGTTTCCAGCTGCTGCAGTTCAAGGGCTCCATGCTGGCGCTGGCCATCGTCAGCCTGGAGCTGGAGAAGCTGCTCCCCGACTGGCTGGCTCTCATCATCGAGCTGCTCCAGAAGGCACAGGTGAGGAGGGCAGCGCACAGGGAGCGGGGAGGGACCCGGGTCTCACGTCCTGCTTGGTGCTCCAGCCCAGCCGGGCCTTTGTGAGTCCTTGGTGCCGATGGCTGCCTGCTGCTCTGCTTGTGTGGGGAAGGCTGGGCCTCGGCTGGAGGGACAGTGCTGCCAGGTCTCAGTCCTGATCACCTGCACTGGGTGAAGGGAGAGGAGCCGTGTGCCTTGATGGACACAGGCTCTTGCTGTACCAGGCAGAAAACACATCAGGGAAAAATTCACCTTCTTCGTGAAGGTTCATTCACAGCATGCAGGGAACCTTGCATGTACTCGGGGAGCACACTTCAGCTGTTAAAAACAGGCAGTGAAATCCTTTAATATCTCCCAGTTCTGCCTGCTTTCTCCCACGATTCCCACAAGGTGCAGGAAGGAGCAGGGGGGGTCCTGCACGCAGCACGTTGTTGGCAAGTGAGGTGCACTTGTGGCCGGGGCGCTGGGAGCCCGTGCCGTCTGCTCACCCTGCCAGTGATCCCAACACATCCGTACCTTCGCTTGTCTTCCCACTCCAGATGGACAGCTCGCAGCTGATCCACTGCCGGGAGCTCGTGGCACATCACCTTTCCACTGTGCAGCCTTCTCTGCTGCCCAACTCTGTATATGTCTACAGTCCCCTCCAGCAGACCCTGGTGACCTGTAACAGAGGAGCGTTCCACCGCCAGCCCTCCTCTGTCCCAGGGCCGGGTTTGTCCCAGGACAACGGCCGGCCAGAAGCGCCCGTCACAGCTACAGCCGCGCTCTGCCCGCGCCTGCCCGCCCCCGCCGGCGGCTGCAAGCCCGGCTCCGCCAAGCGCAAGGTGGAGGAGATGGAAGTGGACGACTTCTACGACGGCATCAAGCGCCTGTACAACGAGGAGCTGGCTCCGGAGGCGGCGGCCCTGGAGAACGTGGGCTCTGTTTGCGGCGCCGACGTGTCGCGGCAGGAGGGCAGCGTGTCCCCGTGCCCGCCTCTGCAGCCCGTGTCTGTCATGTAGCTGCGAGGGGCGGGAAGGGGCCGTACCTTGTCAGGCTGAACTGAAGGGAGCCAAAAGAAAACCAGGAAAAAAAAAAAAATATCCCGACCCTTTTTTGAATTTTATTTCTTGTGCGGCTAATTATAGTTCCACTATTTAAGCACTTAAAAAGACAAAAAAGTATAAAAATCTAAAAAAAGACCCAAAAACCAAACAAAAAAAGTAGCAAAAACCTGTTTCTTTCTAGTGTTGTCGGTTCCACTGTTTTTCTGCTCTTGTGTGTTGTAACCCATTCTCCACATCTGAGAGCTCACACCAGCCCCGCGGAGCTGTTGCAGGTTTCCCAGCCAACTAATGCCTCTGATCCCATTCCCACCTGCTCCTTGCTCCCTTTCTGCTTGCTCTTCTTTTAGTTCTCAGCCAGTCTTGTGCATGACGTTCTGTCCTGCCCCACCTCCACCACAGCTTTCTTTTGCCCTTCTAAACAGAAAACCTCTTTTGTTAATAGGTGGGTGTTGAAAGGTGATAATATTGAAAACTGGATTTAATCAAAAGATTCGGCAGGAAAAAAACCCAAAGCAGTGCTTGCGAGCTGCTGCACACTTCAGCAATTCCCATAGGAGTGTGAAAGTGCTCTGTGCCTGGCACAGAGACTTCTTCCAGTTACACCAGTTTGCCTTTCCCAACACAAAGCAGTTACTGGGTTTTGTATCACTAGAACTGAAACCATGTTTTTCTTGCTGTGCTGCACTCAGTGTGGATTCTCACCAAGGCTTGGTTCTCTCCATCAGATGTAACCCTTTAATTGTGCAGAGCCCGGTTCTCCCTGCACATCTCCCAGCCCTGCTGGGTGAGGTGCCGGGGTGCCTGAGGTTTGGAACGTGTCATTATCAGCCACAGACCCCGAACAAAGCACCCCGAGCCTCCCTCGCGTTTTGTGTTCACGTAACTTCTAACCAAGAGTGTGACGTTGAGCGCGTCTCCTCCGTGTGACACCCTGTTCTCAGAACACCCCGTCCCGACTGTAAGCTCTCTCCACAGCCCTGAGGAAGGTATCGTATCCAGAGCCATTGTACTGATGAAAGCCTTCTGGTAGCAATAAAGAAAGTTGTCCTGGATTCCCAGTCTGCTCTTGTTTTCACCCACAACCTGGCTTGGCTTTGCCCAGAGGGAGCTGCTCTGTGCCAGAGCCCTGCAAAGGTGACGTGAGAGGTGCTGGGCAGCCAGGAGAGTCACCCAGCATCGACTCACTGCCTCTCCAGCAGTGCCAGCTTGAGCCCTGGCTCTGGTGCTCCTCACTCCAGGCTGAGTGCCTGGCTGGGACACTGCTCCATGTCCCCTGTTCTGTCCCCCTCCTGTTCCCTGCCTTCCAAGGTGCCATCTTACTGCAGCAGTCCACCAGGACAGCCTTCTCTTGGGTTCTGGCTTCTTCCTGCCATGGCTCAAAAAATTCCCCTCAAGACCACATTTCTCAGCAGGGTGTGTATCTTCCTTCCTTTCCAGCCCTTCCTGCCGTCCTAACAGTATTTTCAGCCCCTGACCTTCTCATCCCACGGCTCAGTTTTCCAAAGCCAGGCTGCTGAGCAGGCTCAAAGTATCATTAGCACACCCCCTAGGCAAAGCACCCTGTGACTGCAGGATATGCCCCGTTCTGGGGCTCACTGCTTCCAGCCCACGGCATGTGACACATCTGTTCCAGTTAAATTACACTGGCTTCTCCCCCTCCCCACACTCTTTATCCCCACGTTTAAGGCATATTCCCATTTCCCTGCTTGCAGCACCAGCACACAGGCACTCACAGAGGCACAAGGAGGGAACGGGAGCCTGTGCCAGCTGGCAGGGCCTGGCTGAGACAGCAAAGAGGGGAGCTGGGCCTCAGGAGAGATTTGGGTGCTGCTGGGGCAGTTTGCTGTCTCGGGTGTGCTGCAGCCATGGCTGTGTGTCCCTCTGGGAAGGTAATTGTGTCCTTGTCACTGAATCCTGCTCCCCAAAGCCACAGGACAGGAGCAGGTCATGCACTGTCCCACACTGGGCACAGCCCCAGCTCATCCCAGCCTTGTGGGAGATGAGCTCTGTCTTCCAAAATGCACCCAATTAACAACATCACTGTGGCTCTCCCACAACTGCCCAGAACCCTCCCTGGCCTCCTTGTGCTGCCTGGAGCTGGCCAAGCCACAGGGCCGACCTGGTGAGCCCTGGGCAGCCAACACCAGTAGAGGCAGGACTGAGTCTCCTTGGCTCCAAGGCAGCTTTCCTGCTCCCCACTCCCAAACACAGGCATGGCCCAGCCCCGGGGGGCTGCAGAAAGAGACAGACACGTTTGATTTGCTTGGTGCTGTGCACAAACCCACCCCAATTCCCTTATGCCAGGCAGCTCCAACACAAGAAGGCTCAGGCACAAAGCCTGGTCTGGGTGAGCCACCTCTGCAGTGTCCTGCTGTCCTGGCAGAGGCCCTGGACACTTGCGGGCACCTCTCCGGCTGTGGCATCCCAGAGCATCCCCTTGGCTTTGCTGTTCCCTGCAGCAGGTGCAGCAGCTGCCCCGTCCAGCCCCACCCTGCATGGCTCCCATCACCTTCAGCAGCAGGCTGAGCCCTGTGCTGCTCCCACTGCTGGAACACAGGGCTGGACTGGAGCTCGGCCAGGGCTCCTCGTTTCCCACAGGAAAACATTCCCTGATGCCCTGGACTCCTCACATTCAGTGACCTTCCCACAAACTTCACAGCATCCCAGTGCTTCCCATCACAGACCTGCCCCAGATGCCAGCACAGGGTCTGTGCTCCAGTGGGCCCCAGAGCAGTGCAGGCCAGGAGCCCAGCATGTCCCTCAGGAGCACTGGGATAAAACCACTGCACTCACAAACCCAAGCATTGGCTCCGTGCCCCCAGCTCAGGGAGCTCCCCAGGGCACAGCAGCCACATCCCAGTGGAACACTCTGCCTGTTCCCAAGCCTTTAGCTGCAATCCCAGCTCACCCTCACACACTGTGCTGCTCCCTGCCTTTCCCTGAGCCCTGAAGGATTTGCTCTCCAGATGTGAGAGCATCTGCAGCAGCCACACAAGGGTTAAACCCAAAGCACAACTTTTCAGCTGGGAGTGGATGAAGTGGCTTTCCCAGCTCTGCTGGGGGACATTTGGTGACAAATAACCTTCCTGAGCCCCCCACTCCCCACGGTGCTATCTCCTCCCCACGAGCTGCAGCCATGCAGGAAGCAGCTGAAGGTCACGTCCCCATCCCTCCTCCCAGCCCTGGGCTGTGGGAAAGCCCCACCAGCCTCTGGCAGCTCCGCCCCTCGTTCCACAGACACCGCTGGCAGCGTCCGTGCCCTCTGCTCCGTTCCCTCCGCCGTGTATCCACAGCCAACGCACTGTCACTGTTCTCCTCATGGACCTGCTCTCCCTGAATTTACCTTTTAAAAAAACCAAACAAACCCCAGAACCTGCTGCTCACACCGTCCACCTCAAGAACCTGGGGCAGCAAACCCGGGAAGTTTAGCACCTGCTCTGTGAGAAAGCTACTCCGTGTTTACTCCATGAGTAGAGCCCATTTCCTTGGAGCTGAGTCCAGCTGAGAGGATTTGGTGACCGGCAGTTCGGCACGCACCTCCATCGAGCTGACACTCACAAATAAATTCGGGCTGCAGGGGACCTCTAGAGGACGTGTGCTGCCACCTCCTGCTCGCAGCAGGGCTGGATCCTCCCTCTCCTTGCCGAGCCACCTCACCTGGCACGCTGCTGCTCCATCCCATTTACCATTAGTGCCCTTCTCTAACTCCACTTTGTCCTTCTGCAGACACGAAGTCCAGAGGTGCAAGCAGGACTCAAGGCACCAACACGGCAAAACTCTACGGAGCTGCAAAATAAAGGCAGTCCGTATGGGCACTTGGGTTGTGCCCATCTCCTTCTCTTGAGAGTAAGCTTTTAAAATAATTCTATCTGGAGTTTAGAAGTAACAACAACAAAAAGGTGCAAGGACTGAGGGGAACATAAGGAGAGGATTCCCTCCCTGAAACAGGGTCCCAGAGAAGCCTGCAGGAGCCATCCAGCAGCTGGGGTGGCTGCTGGGCAAGCAGCCAGCAGGGTACCTGGGCAAGCTGCAGGCTACCATGGCTGCACAGCCCACAGCAAGGCCCTTGGACCTGCAATGGCCACTGCAGACTGGCACAGGTGCCACCACTGGAAGTAAAGGCAGACTAAACCGGGCATTTAATGGGCAAGGCATGTTCTGAGTCAGCAGTGACCACCTTAGTGTGGGACACTGACCTGCAGGAGGCACAGCAGGGGCTTGAGCCCCAGCAGCTCTTGGCTGCCTGGTAAATCCTTATTTTCAGGCATTTTCATGGTTACTCACTATTTTTTTCCTGAAAATGTGCATCTCAAGCCATGGCTTTTTGATAGGGATGGGTGGCCCGGGGCATGCAGGGATCCCATCCTGCAAGTGGGGGCTCTCAGTTAAGACAAACACCCAGAGAGTTCTGCAGAGCAAGAGAGGGACAGACACAGCCAAGGTTTAATCCAGCAATGGCCTCGACCCCGCTTTGTGCTCGGAAGGCTGAACTGAACAGACCTGAAGAAGGCAGAATTTCAGACCTGGCCCTCTGGTGGGAGACCCCTGCAGCCTCAAGAGCAGGGCAGGCTCTGGTTGCAAATGCTGTCCCAAGCTACACTTGTGCAAATATTCACAGCCCTCCAGGCTGGGGAGCAGCCAGCAAGTCCAGCTGCATACCAGGCAAACGGGACCAGCACATGTGAGGCCAACACTCAATGACCTTTCTGAGTGTATCCATGAAGTCACTTCTTTGGTTGCAAAGGTTTCCAGGACAAGGCAGTTTTCCTTCCACCTGGCTGGAGGGAGCTGCCCCTTGTCACTGAAGAGTGCTGCAAAATAATGTGCTTCTGAAAAAAACAAACCCCAGCAGGTTTCAGCAGAGCCCCTCAGCAGCTGGCATGTCACACACCCATTGCTAAAGGCTAAACTCAGACCAACTCAGGGGAGCTTTACCGTGGCAGGCTAAAGGAGGGGAATTCCTTGATTGAGGTTCACAGATGCAAAGAATAAATCACTAGTATTCGGTTGAAATTAAAAGTGCATCACTCTACACAAAACAATATCCCAAGAGGTCAGGCTGCCTCCTTCCATCCATCCCAAACCAGCTGGAGGTCACTACACACAGTTACAGGTTTTGTTTTTACCTTCAAGCAATCCTTTGGCACTTCTCAAGCTTTTCAACTGAGTTCACTTCCAAAGTACACAAGGTAGAAATTTCAACAATTTGCCCACATTCAGGACTATTAAAAAAATAATCACTAATTAGGCTTCATGAGAACAAAACGAAGCCCTCGATCTAAGTTTGAGCCAGTGCAGCTCAGCTGTACAAAACCAGAATCCTGCTCTGCCCACGGCGGGGCACAGCCAGAAAATAAGGCCTTGACTGTCCAGGACAGGCTCCAGCAGTGCCACAGGATGCGACATCCACCTTCACACAGCGACACACTGAGGACATCACCAGGTCATGGAGACATTTCCAGCCATGCCAGAGGAGCACAGGACGCCCTTGAGATGAAGCTGTGGTGTCCAAAGCAGGCAGGCTCGAGGCAGAAATTAAATCCTCCAGCTATGCACACTCACTGTCGTTTCTGTGTGTCACCAGCAGTGTGTGCATGTCGTGGCAAAAGGAAATGGGCAGGGAGGTAAGAAAGTCCAACTAAGCCGGAGCAAGGTGTGAGAGCGCCGAGCTCCTCGGGCAGTTGCCTCTGGCAGTGCTGGAAGCCGGGGCGCTGGCGGAGCCCGCAGCGGGACAGGGCGGGTCCCGCACAGACACACAGCACAGCACACCCTCAGACGCACGGGTGGGAACAAAGGGGGAAGGAGAGGAGGACACGCGTGATGGAGGAATGAGATGGCTCTTCTCGTGCCAGGGCTGCCCGGATCCGCAGCTCTTCCAGTGCCCTATGGTCCACTGGGAGAGGGGGTGTGGGGGCTTTGGCAAGGTGACCGTTACATAAAGAAGAAGCTACAGAAAAAGAGAAAAAACAGAAGAGAAAAGAAACAGAGGTTCAGAATTGAAATGAAAAAGTGAGGATGGGGGGCGGGGAACAAACAAAGGAGGAACAACATTTTAACGTAAGTCATGGGGGAAGGAATGTACTGGGCAGGTGTCACACACACCAACTCCAGCCTGAGCTGCCCAGGTACCGGCTCAGGTGGGGAAGAAGCTTATGGCCACCACAAGAAACGACTGACAAACAGCAGCACGAACCTACAGAGGCACCCCAAAGGCACAGAACAACCTGCAGGGGAGCAGAGGCTGCCAGGTGTCTCTCCTGTGGCCCTGCCACAGAGCAGCAGCAGCAGCAAACGTCACAAAGGCCACGCAAAGACCAAAGCCTTGGGTAAAAATATATTTCCTCTCCCCACTTCAAGTGTTGGCACTATTTGGATCTGCAACCTGAAGCATATACAAGAAATAACTGAGCTTATGCTATAAGGTTATTATTCCATCTGTAATTCAAAAAACTGAAATATTTTAACATCAAATAAAGTGACAATATCTAACAGATGCATACATATCATTTGCATTAACACTGTATGTAGGTTACACAATTGTTTAGTTACAAACATGGGTTATTTTCCAATAGCAAGGTAATAAAGTCCTACATCTATGGTTTAAGGCAATCAGGATATTAAAAATACAAGATTTCTACCGCTGTTCACAGCTTTGTTTCCCGATAATTAAAAAAAACCCTTCATATTAGCAGAGCTCCGTGCTGGCACAGGCTGGTGAGAGCACCTCAGATATGCCAGCCTGCAGGTGCAGCCCGGGCCCTGCAGAAGGGCCACGGCAGGGGACTGGAGTCAGAGGGACAGATCTGATGTGGTCACACACAAAAAGCCATTTCCATCTGTGCTCGGATGGTCTGGGAGAAGCACAAGCAGAGGTGCCTGCACAAACGGGCCCTGTTTACCATGGACGTGCTGCAGGGAGACACCAATGTCCCTGCTGCCACTGCCAGCTGTCACAAGCACACGGAGGAGGGGTGGCAGCAGTGGCAGCTCTCCAGCTGGAGAGGAGCCCGGGGTGGGTGTCAGTGCCTGCTTTCCCTGCTCCTGCAGTGCCACAGGAGATGCATTTCAAGATGATGCATTTCACAAGCACCAGCTCCAGGGGCACCTTCCTGCTCAGAGCCCTCCCTGAAAGGAATTGTGTGAGCCCTGGAAGGTTCTGGGGGAGCAAACCCTTCTCCATCTCCTCCTGTCCCACTGCTTGCCAGACCCAGTGTGCCCCCTCTCTGCAGAGACCTGGATTGTCTTTGCTCTTCCATCCTGGGGGTTTGTTTCATGCCCTGGGAACATCACCATCCCAGAAAAAGCACGTTTCAGCGTGCCCTCCTGCTCCTTTGTACTAGCCTAAGGACTGAAATCCACCTTGTCAGGAACATGCAGTTTTAGAGGAGTTTTCACCAGCCCACTTGCACTAAGTGGGCCTGGAGAATCCCCCAGAAAAGCAGAGCTGGTGTGCTGTCAGGAGCAGGGCAGGAAGGGTCACAGTCCCCTCCTGCTGTACTTACATGCAAAGGTGAAAGCACATCCAGCCAGACCTGAGGTCTCATTCACTCCATGCACTGCAGGGGCTGCTGTGGAACAAGGCACGGGCAAAGAAAAGCAACAAGAGCAGCAGGAACAAGTTAAACATGGCCCAGGGGCTCGAGATGGGGGAAAAGTCACTGCCATCTCCTTGGCAAAAAACCAAAACAGTACCTTGGACATCTTCAAGTTTGTGGTTTATTCTCAGTTTCTCCAACACAGCTTGTTTTCTGCTGGAGAAAAACTCAACCAAAAAGTCACTAATGCACTTGGCCACAGCTTTCTGTCAAAAAGGAAAAGCTCAACTCAGCTGATTTCTCCTGCTAAACATCCCTTGAAGGGCTGTTAAATGAAGCAGGAGAAATAAATGTTAAAATTAAGTTTTCTACTTGGCACAAAACACTGGTAATTAAAAAGAGGACATGCACAGAGGCAGCTGAAGCAAAGCATATTGCCATGAGCACTCGGTGATGGGCATGGGATGTGACTGCAAAAAACTCATGCAAACAACTCAAACTTCTTCCTTCATAACTCAAGATTTTAAAGCTGGGCTTGCCAGAAGCCACAAGAACCAGAATTTCATTTTTCCAAACAACCCTGCAGCAAACCTATTTAACCTGATGAAAAGTGCATAGTTGGCAAGTCCAGGAGGGAAAGAAAACCCAAACAACAACAACAAAATAATAGTAATAAAAAAAAATTAAAAAAAAAAGAAAAAATTAGAAGGCCAGTTGTTGTATTTGCAGCTCATTTATCCATTCTTGCTGACTGTCCAAGACAAGGTACATAGGTATCCTCTTCCTAAAGCCATGTTTAAGCAGTGAGGGTTAAAAAGCAAGACAACCCATAAGCTAACCTCCAAGCACTTCCCAGTCCAACACTTGAGGAAAAAGTGATTTAAATAAGTGAGAATTCTGCCTTTTTTTTTCCCCCCAGAGAAATTCCAGCTGGAAGCAGGCAAACAGCTGCAGAGGGAGACTTAGTAGGAAGAATTTTGTGTAAGAGGGCTTTAAAGAAGGAGCAGAGGAAGTGCTGGCTGTGCACTGGCAGAGGAAGAAATCCAGGAGTCACAGGGTAAGCACAGCCCACCAGTCCTTGGGAAGGAAGGGAAAGACTCTGTCTGAAAGCAAAGGCATGGAAAAAGCACTTTAAAGAGAGCCACTTGCATTGTGTGCTGGCCAGAGAGCCAGGCCTGGCTGATGCTACATCTCCTTGCCATGTTCCAGGACACCTGAATGGGACATGGTTGCTGCTGCTCCAGAGCCTGGGCTGGCCACCACGTGCCCAGGCACCTTCTCTCCCTTGGCCTGGAATTCTGCACCCCACAGCCTTGCAAGTAGTGTGTATTTAGGTTTGTGCAGGCATGCACCTGGAAGCTCCACGAGGATGCTGGCAGCTCTGTCTTCCCCCTGCCCAGGCATTGGATTCTAAGATCCTGCCTGTTGGAAACCAGGCAGGATTTTAAGGGAGGTTCCAAAGCTTTGAGGCAAATAGTGCAGGGAGAGCAGTGCTGGGAATGCTCCTTCCCCAAGGCAGCCACAGCTGCTCTAGTGAGCTGCAAGGGAGGCTGGAAAACCAGGCCAGCCCAGGCCAGCAGGGCCAGGGCAGACAGCACAGAACAGGAACTAATAGCAATTATCATGCAAATGTCACGGCATGCAAGGTCAGTTACACTTGGTTATCTACACACACCCCCCTCCCTCTCCCTGGCAGGGGCTGGGGCTGCTGCAGCACATCAGCTCCTCGGGGAATGTGGGGCAGGCTCGGCTCCAGCTTCAGCCACGGGCCGGGCTGGCTGGGACATTGCTGCAACACTCATTCCCTGGGGCTGGTGAATCCTGCAGCCAGCAGCACTGGGGACACCTGAGCCGGTCAATACCTGAGCTGCTGACATCCAACTCTGACTCTTTGTTCAGACTGGGGACCAAAAATAATTTACTGCTGATGGTTTTGATGAGAAAAAATACATGGTATCATCATTACCTCGTCCCTCCACCCACCCCTGAACTTCCACTCGCAGTCAGTCCTGCACCCAATCCCTCTTCCTTCTTGTTCCCACTATGTTATTAGATGAGTTAATAGTTATTCATGTTAAAAAATGGAAAAAAAAAATATAAAAAGAAAACAGATGGCAGAGACACATTACTGCAAAAGCAGGTGAATGCAGGAACATCCTTGGCTCGACAGGCTTTATGTGAAGCTTGCACTGCAAGTTAAAAAAACAGAACAAAAAACAAAAAAGTTAGCACTAATGGAACTCAAAATGCAAAAAAAAAAAAAAAAAAAAAGAAAGAAAGCCAGGAGAGCCAACACCAGCAACCCGCTCCGGTGGGTGGGCATGCAGATGGATTATGGGATTACAAAGAGATTCAACCTCAAGGCTGGGCTCTACTCTGGCCTAAGACAAGCAAAAGGAAAAAGAAAAACTGTGGGGACAGAGGTGCTGAGCAGCCAGCCCTGCAGGCCAGTCCAGGTCACAGCCTGTCAGGGCAGCCCTCGGTGGCTTTAGGGATCATCTGTTCCCAGCTGGGACATGGCTGCAGCTGGCCAAGCTTGGGCTACTTCCCATGGCCATCCCTGCAGAGGGGAACTCAGCTATCTCACACCTGGACACCAGGATGTCTCCAAGCACTTGGGCTTGCACAGCCAGGTCACATCCTCCAGGCACCACCAAAGCCCTCTTTAAAGAGGGTCTTGGGCCAGGCCCTGACACGGATGTTGCAGCTCAGGGAGTGCTGTGGGATGAGCATGACCCCTGATGGCCACACCAGGCACACTGGACTGGAAACTTAAGTAGAAAGGAAACTGAAAAAAAAGAAAAAGTTTTACACTTGGCTTTCAGAAGCAGCTTTAAATAAACTGAGCCAGAACCCAAACAGATGGTCCTGGCTCCTGGGGGGCTGTGCATGAGCAGCAGCAGCACAGCACATGTTGAGGCATGTGGCCATCTAGGCAGCAGCAGGCAGCACCAGGAGGCTGCTTGCCTTGGCCACTGCGTCTGTGGCCAGGAGCTGCCTCCACACTGGTCAGGTTGGAAGCACAGGGGCTCGGTCAGTGTGCTCAGCCCCACGTCCCAGCAAGTGCCTGAGTCTGCTCTGCAGCCACCCTTCAGTGCCTCAGGGACACAGCTGTGCTGTCCCCAAACCCTGCTGCTGTCAGGCCAGAGCCCCAAACATTGCAGATAAAAGTCTAAGCTAGAGAATTTCTGGAGGAATAGTCTGGAAATCAGGAAGGCCAGGCTCTCCCTCATGGAGTCAGGCCAGCAGCAGATTTCACCCTGAGCCTTCCCTCAGGCATGCACAGCACAGTGGAAAGTCTCTGTTGTCCAAATTGGAGAAATGTGATCCCACCTTGAGAAAAGACAGCATTCCCATTAATAACTTTGTGGGGAGGCTGCAAGGGTCGGGCACAGCAAGGAGTTCCTCTGGCAACTGCACAAGAAGCACCAGGGGCCACGGCAGCAGAGAGAGAGGCTGGAAGCCTTAACTACACCAACTGCAGCTCCACATTAGAGTGCAAGGAGAAACTCAGAGCCTTCAGAAAACCGAGGTGAGCTACAAGGCAGGAGCAGCAGCATTTCCCTTCAAAGCCTCTGTTAGTAACTCTGTCACTAGAGAACACCTGCAGCAGGTACAGCACCTGGCGTGGAGCGACACAAGGACACACTAAAACACGGGCATGTTCCTCAAGGCTGGATTTCTGTGAATGCAGCAGCAAAGCAGAACCTGTGTTTGTCACAGTCACTGGGAACAGCCCTGCCTCACCCACCATGCTGGAACCAAACAGGAGCTCACACTGACCACCCAGAGGGACACAACTCCCCAGACCGTTCTGTACTGCACTGGTGCTACAGCTAAGACATGAAAAAACCTGACTGCACAGTTATAAAAATATCAGGCTACCGACTCTGAGAGAGAAGGAAAAGGATCTCCAAAACTTGCTGGTTTTCTTAGGGAACGCTTCACCATGTCAGAGCTCTCAGGTGAGAGGGGTGTTCCAGCCTGCCTGGGCCTTAGCTGTGACACTTGCTGCTTGCAGTGCTCAGGCTGACACCCCTGGGTGTGGTCTGTAAGGATTTCTCCCCTTGGAGCAGGGCACGCAGCACACAGCACCCCATGGATCCCGGTGGGGGCCCGTGGCCACGTCCTCAGCCAGCATCGAGCAGCACAGCTCCATGGGAGCTACATCAATTTACATCAGCTGAGGAACCAGCCCAGGCCCTCCCCACCTTCCCTGGGCAGCAGCAGAGACTGGGGCACACACACAGAGGCTGGAAAAGCTGCAAAACCCCAAAAGCTGCAGCTGCCACGCAGCTCAGGCCAGGCTGGCACAGGACACACCGGTGTCTGAGCCACGTCCCTGCTGGCACTCAGCCCCTCCAGGGGTGACAGCTGGGTGTTCATCAGCCAGGTTACTCTAAGGAACACCCCCCTTCTCTCTCCTGGGCAGTGAAAGCAGCGTGGAACTGTCGTTTTTGTGTGTGGGTTAACCAAGTGTTTTCCAGTGAGATTTGCTGCATTCTCAGCTTTCCCAATGGAAGGTACCAACTAAGCACCCTTAGCACAGGTGACTCACAAAGGACTTGCATGAGCACCCTCTTACTTGGAATGGAAAAAAACAGTGGAGAGTAAAGGATTACACTCTTAGGACAGGAATATAAAATAGTAAAAAACAGTGCCATGATCTTGACTAAAAGGGTTTCTTAGCTTATTATGTCAACTTGATACAACCACAAATGCCATTTAACTGCAATTACGGTACCATAGGAGTTTGTTTTTCTAAAAAAATACAAAACCAAAGCCTCTTGTCTTTAAAGCAACCTTCTGAGTAATCACTTTTGGCACTAGCATTCCCCATGTAAAAATAACATGGTGGTTTTGGTTTCTAATTTACTTCTACTTACAACTAGAACCTAAAGGAATGGGAACTGGAGACTACCAGTGAAAGAAAGGACGGGTGGCAATTCCCTTAATAATTCTGGCTCAGGCAGATAAATCTGAGTCCAGAACATCCCATAGCTCCAGAAGATGCTGGATAGATCACAAATCAAACCTCCACCATTCAATTGCTCTCCCACGCCAGTCAGACTTGAACATAAAATCTGAAGGTACTCTTCTAGAGAAAAATTAAGATCATGTCCCTGGCCCACCCTTTAGAAAAAAAAATATTTTATTTCATCAGGCTGAGAAAAAGCCTGTTTCCAGTCTGGTAATGGGGAAAAGCAAATACAGACATGCAGCAAGAAAGAAAAAAACAACCTCCCAAAACTTGTAGCAAACCCTACAAAGGGTGTGGGTGACATCCGCTTACTTTTTCTTGTCCTTGTCTTTCTTGGTTTGTTGAGACCCTGCCTGCTGAGCCTGTGACTGTAATAGCTGAGCTGCTGCCTTCTTCTTTTGAAAGTTGCTCAGCTCTTCCTCAAGTTCCTTCTTTTTGTCTTCCACCTTTTTCTTCTCTTCTTGGTGAGTCCTCTTTAGATGGTCAAACTTTTCGTGGAGCTGTCGGGACAGAGACAAGGAGAATTGGCTGGGAAGAGGAGCACGTTTCACCCTCATTTACAGGTAATGATGCCCCAAAGTGCTCCTGCAGGCACTGAGCCCTCCCTGTGCCCAGCCTGCCTGACTCTGTGGGAAAAGGCCTGCAGTTAGCACCCACTGGCACGCAGAGGGTGGGAATTCCCACATTTCCACACCCCCATATTCCATCCCTCAGAGCTCTGCACCTCGTGGACTCCATCAGGCAGCAGCAAAGCCAGGGAAGCTGGGCACTGAGGGCTGCACTCGTGTCTGCACCTCTGCAGCAGCACAGGCTCCTCCAGGAGGCTGAGGAGCAGCCCCAACAGGACATTTGTGTGACAGCCCTGCCCCAAACCCTCACACAGAGCCCTCGGAGTCACAGTACACTCACATCCTTCTCTGCTTCCTTCAACTCTGCCTCCTTCTCCTTCACTCGCATCACGAACATCTGCCTCATTTCATCCTCCTTCTTCTGCAGTTCGCCCAGGAATTCGTTCCTCTTCGCTTCATAAGTCTCTTGGAGACTGTGAAAAACACACCAGACCTGGTCAGAGCAGTGTTTCAAGCACAGCCATCAGCTTCCAGACTTGGGAGACCCGGGCCCTTAGGTTGTCTTGTCACAAAACACAACCCGTCCCGGCTTGCTAGGTGGCAGCAGTGGGAGGAAAATCCCTGCTCAGGACTCCGTGCATCACCCAGCAAGGTTTGTGTAGCTCACCCGGGCTGAAATCTGCCCCCGTGGAGTTCATTAAGCACGACACTGACACAGAGCTGAACTCATTTCCACTGCTCATTGCTAACAGATGCAGATCAGGGGCTTGATTTAGATAAATCCATCGAGGGACACCTCCCTTTCTCCTTTGGCCTTTCCAAACCATCAACAGCCTTTCTCCTTCAAATAAACACATTACTGGATTCCCTCATTCCCCCTCTGCTCCTTGGCATTCCTTTATTTCCCCAGCACCGAGACAGGCAATGGAGATTTGGGACATAAAATACGTGGTCCAAGTTGTCTCTGAGATTTTTAAAGCCTCTTAAGAACTCTGGATGTCAAATTCCTCCTTTGTTTTATTCCTTAAATGGATTTGGATAGCCCAGCCATAATGACAGCGTGGGAATGATAACTATTTCCCCCAAGAGGCTTTTCTGATGACACATTTTTAAAATGAAAACTCCACTGAAGTCACACGGACACGTTGCATCTGTGTGCCTAAGGAACACGTTAACCATTGGACCACTGGAATATCCCAATTCCAATAAAGTCAAGCTTTTGCTTTTCCTGGCAGTGTTGGGGATTTTGATGGCTTTTTTATTGGTTGGGCATTTTTTTAGGGGATGCAATATCGAGCTGGGGAACACAACTTGTCAGATTATCCCAAGCCTTGTATTTAACTCTGCTAATTAATAGGCACTTCAGTTACTTCCTAAAATACTCTCCAGACAGGATGCCCAGAGCTGTTCTGGCACAGCACTGGCACAGCCCCAGAGAAATCACACCATTCCACATGACCACACCAGCTTCCTACACATGGAAGCAAAAATACTGATTCTAAAAATGACAAAAATCCTTTTGTGGGAGAGCAGGGCAAGAGGCATCTTTTGATTCTCAGCTAAGCGCAGAACCAGACCTCTGGCAGCACACAGACTTCAGGAGACTCAAAACAAATCTCTCTAGAATTCAGTGTTGGATTTATTAATCCTCTGTGGACACTGAAACTTAAATTCCTAAGCCCTTCTGAAGGATCTGGCAAAGCCTGAGGGCAGGTGAGCCTTTGTTGCTCAGTGAGCACAAACTGAATCTGCAATTAGTGACACACAGTCCTAGGGAGCAGCAGAGCCTCACAGAGTGAAAAAAAGCAAAGCTCTGCATGTGGCTCATCAGATCCTGGACTGCAAACCACTTCTTCCAAAGCTCAGTTCCAAAAGCACAGTGCTCGGTGATGGGCAAGCAGGAAAAGCCTGGCAGGAGTGAGAGGGGCAGGGGCTTCCTGTTAGATTGTCCCAGGTTCAAAGCTTAATTCTCTGCTGCAGTGACTCTGACTTCCAGAGGAGCCAAGTTCTCAGATAAACTGGCCTGGCAACTCCCAGGCTGCATGTGAAGAAAAACAATTACAGCCCTAAGGAATAACAGTCCAAACCAACTGGGATCCCTGCAGCTTCTCACAGGCAAAGATGACAAGGGAATTGGCTTTTAAGTACACAAACATATGAGCCTAAATTACAAGAGTAACTTCATTTCCCAACACGCCCCCACACAGTGAAGGATGCCCTGGCAAATAATACTCTTTGGAAAAAGAGAATTTTGAAAAGCTTAACCAGAGCAGCAGAGAATCCAGCCCACAACAGGCACAGGACAGCAGAAGGGTCTCTGTGCAGAGAGACCCCATTTCATGGAGCTGCTGGGATCCTGGTGCTCCCTCCTGACCTCCTGCAGCCTGGCCAGGCAAGGCAGGGGTCTCAGACATCACCAGTCCTCCTTTTCCACACCTCACACGAGCCCCTACACAGCACCCATGGTTTGCTGGGACCTCCTGCCCTGCTCCCCCTGGGATTTGCCAAAGGCTCCCTTGCTCCTGGATGATGCAAGCTGGCTGAAGAGCAGCAGTTCCTGTGGCCCCTGGGGCTAGGATGCAGGGAAAAGCATCCTTTTGATCCCTGAGCTCAGAGAGGAACTGTCTCCCTCATTTCAGATATACATCAGCCTCAGCCAAACAGCTTGGGATCATAGGTTTTGTTTGTTTATTGGAGGGAAAAGGCACCCAGAGTGAACTGCTCTCAACCAGCACGTACCAGATGGAGAAATTCTGTACATTTTCATTTCCTTTCTACTTATAGCTTGGTCAAAAGAGGCCTCGTGTACAGGAAGCAATGGAAATTCCTCAGATTCCTCCAAAGGAAGGGCTGAGCCCATCTTAAGCCACTGCTCTCCAGAAAGGAAATCCAATAAAGCTTCACACTTGGACTTAGTAACAGAACACTGGGCTTGACTGATTCCAGCAGAGTTTCTGCTGCAGAAAAAGTGCAGCTGCATCAACTCAGCAAGTCAGGAATAAGACCCCAAAGCAATGGCAACCCCCTGACACTGTGTCACAGGGGCAAAGCCCCAGCAGGGCACTGGAATCCAGACTGCCTTCCCCAGGAGGCAGAGAGGAACGTGGGATGCTGTGAGGCAGGGGGTGCACTTATTGGGGAAAACTTGGGGAGGAATGGGAAACAGGAAATGAAGGAGAAAACAAACACTCCCTCTCCCATTCCCACACAGCTGTTGTCCCTGGCTAAGGGCTTGGGCTGCAGACCAATAAAGCTGTCTGACAGAATGAACTATGTGCTCAGTAATGAGCCAAACCTCAGGCATGAGGCCCTGGCACCCTCCTCACAGCTCACCTTGGACCAGATGTGAAGAGCTCCAGGAGGCTCCAAAGGTCACCCAACACATGGGCCACCTTCCTGGCACATGGAAAGGGCTGCACTTGTCCTGCCTGGAAGTGCAGGCAGAGCAGCCCCTGAGCTGCAGGTCCCTACCTGAAAGGTTTGCTGTCTGGATCCGTGTCCTTGAAGCCCATCTCCTCGAGCTTGCAGCGCCGGTAGAGCTCGTAGTGCCGGGTGTGCGTCTGCTCCCTCAAATCCTCCATGTTCACTCGGATCAGCATCTCCCGCAGCTTCACAAAGTCACAGTGGTTTTCATTTTCCACTGCACAAACGACACGACAGCCACAGAGACAACGTGAAACCCGGCAGCTGGGCCCCAGTGCAGCAAACCTCCAAGTTGTTCAGGCACACAAGCACAACTCCAAATCAAAAATGCCTTGCTGAACTGGGGCTGCAGCCATCCCACGCCAGCACGGGCCCGAGTTCAAGGCCTGCACTGGATTTGCAGGATCTGTGTGTTGCCCATCTGTCACAGGGCTCCCATCTCCCCATCCATTTTCACACCAGCAAGGTGATGATCCGTTTGCTCACAGGATCTCACTTCCTACTCAAACCCACTCGAAATCCTGGCACTCACAGGGGCTCGCACAGGCCAAGTCTAAACTGAATCTCAAACTGTCTGGTATTAGTTTTCTGGGAACAGCAAGAACCCAGCAGGATACAGGTCAAGTCCAAGACCTCCCAAACACATTAATTTCTTTCCTAACTGTTTTTCCCAGTATCATCCTCTGGTGAGTACAGCTGAGGTCTCTGAAGCTGCCTCAGGGTCAGCTGGCATTACTGAGAAGCCAGAGAGTTTTGCAGAATTGCACCACTGTGAATGATGCCCTGCAGCTTCCTGGGCCATTCTCCAGTGAGATACACAAATGAAGCCACAAGGAGATCATCACCATCTCAATCCTGTACTTATCAGTGCTGGTTGGAAAGCAAGGATCAGCTTTGTATTTTTGGCAGCCTCAGTAGAGCCTGGGCTGCAAACAGTGCCCTGGCCAAACTGTGCCCTCCTGCAGACAGGAGCTTTTGGCTCCATGTTCAGATCTAAGCTGTGCTTTCTCAAGGCAGGTTTCAGTAAGGGCCATCCAAAGACCAAAGTGTCTTGGACCAGAAGGGGACAGGAGGGGAATTGTTTGTGCCCCTGGTGACGTACCCTGCACCACACCCCAGGGGTACTGCCTGGCTTTTGCCATCTTGTTGCCAATCTTCACTTCTTCAGTGCTGCCAACCACGGCAAAAGGAAGGTGGACCTGCAAAGGAAAGGGACAGTGAGGCCAGCGATTTCCTTTGCTGCCTTGCCAGGGATTGTTTCTCAACAAAGCTGTTTACTGGGGCAGCTCTGCTAGATTTGAGTTGTTTAAACGTCTTGGCAATTTGTCTGGCGTTTTAGGAAGAGCAACAGGACAATCTGGATGAGAAACCTGATGAGACTTAAAGGCCAAAATTCTCAAGTCCTAAAAATACAAGACATGTACATATTTTCCATTTAATTACAAAGCACTACTGTCTTAAACACAGAACAAGTCTTACAAACTGGAACTGAATTTGAACACCAAGGAAAAAAGAACGATGAAAACAATTTAAGAAAAAAAAATTACATCCTCTCAAGGAAGGTAGGTTCAAAATTCAGGGGGATTTTGCTGCTACAAGGAACTGCTAATGCTTCCTCTTAAACAGGGCAAAACTGTGAGCAAGGGGAAGAGCAGAGCTGACCCAGCCCTGGGCTGACACGTCTGAGTCATGGGGCTCTGCTCGGTCCAGGTCTTTCCGTGGGTGTGGTGGTGACAATCTGGGACCTACTCCCAGAAGTGTGGCTGCTGAAGCCTCAGCTGCCAGCCCAGCCCTGTGGAACTCTCCCTGCCTTAACAGCATCCAAAGGGGCTGGGGGAAAACTCTGGGAGCAGGAGCAGTGTCAGCCAAGCTGTGGTCACAGGCTGGGTGGGAAGAGAAAATGTCAGGGCAGAGGAGATGGGACTATCTGGCAAAGGGGTTTCCCAGCAGCCAGGCTGCACTTGAGGAAGGCAGAACACTGCCCACAATGCACCCTGGTAGAGCCACATCCCTTCTCTGTGCCAGCTTCTCTGTGCTCAGAACACACAGACAGGGAAAGAGACAATAGGGAGCCATGGATAGGCTCTGATATTCAGCTGGATAATTGTCCATCTACAAGCCATTGATCAGGAAAACTCACAACAGCCTTCAAGTAGCTTAATCTGAGTGCACTTGCTTTAGGATTGGCACATCCTCTTGGGGCCAATCAACACCTCACTGCCAGCAACCCTGAGCTCAGGCTCTTCCCTTTGCACCCTGGGTCAGGCCCGTGGCAAACAGCTGCTTCCCTTGGTAAACCCCACGAAAATGTTTGGTCTGGTCTAGCCCTGAGTGCCCTCAGTCCCATCCTGTTCCTAGAGGCAGGGGAGGAGGTGACAGCCTGGCGGCCACAGGCCCTGTGACCATCAGTGGTGGTGCCCCACTCCCACCGGAAACCCAAACAAAGGCGGCAGGGAATGAATCACCCCCACTGAGCTCCGAGTGGGACAGGAAAGCCAAACCTCAGCTCTCTGCCTCCCATCCTCTTCCTTCCCCCAGGCGGGAATGCTGCAGCAGGGGAAGGATGTGAGAACTGCAGCAGGGGAGAAGTGCTTGGCACACAATGAAACTTAGCACACCAGCCATCTCCAGCCCCCAAAAGCCTTCTGGCCAGGCTCATGTCCAGGCTTAAATTGCAGCTTTAAAGCCAAGTAAGGCACAGCACGGCCATGAAGGAGAGGCCCAGGCAAAGCAAGGGCAGCAGCCCCCCCAGATAACATACACTCATGGTGGCATTGATCTCGGCCACCGTCTCCTCGTCCGTCGGGAACTGGTAGATCTGGACGCCGTTGCTGACCAGCTCGCTCATGATTTTACTCTTGAACTTGTGCAACTCGTTCTTTGCAATGGTGTCAGCCTTGGCTATGATGGGGATGATGTTCACCTGCAAGACAGGACAGCACCTCCGTGTACAGGACTGCACAGCCTGTGTCACTGGGAGAGGACAGAGCAGGACATGCAGTGACAGCCCTGAAGTGCCACAGATTAACTTCCCTGGGGCTGCTGCGGCCGGCAGCACCACCTCAGGCAGGATGTCCAGGCAGCAGAGATGAAGGCCTTAGAAAGAAGTCAAATGCAATTTGGCAACATGCTATTTCCTGTCCTGTCACACTCCCCTCCTCATCCGAATTGGCTGGACAGGAAATGCTGTCAGAAATTATTATGAGCTGCTCAAAAAAAATAAGAAAGGAAATGACCATCTCTGCACATCCCCTGGTACAGCAGCTGGCTGGATTACAGCAGGAGCCATGCTCAGACTACAGCCTGTCACGGGCCCTGGCTTTGGGAATGTCACCAGGGACACCAGAGGGGCAGCAGAGCTGCTGTCACCCCACAGGAGGTGGAAGCAGATGGTCCCTATGCAGCCCTGGGACACACACAGGACAGAGGCTGGCAGCAACACAGGCACACTTCCCCCACCTGTGTGCCCTCATGTGCCCCTGGACACCAGTGCACTGCAGGACCAGGGTTCACTCCTCCCTGCACAGCTCTGAGATGAACAATTAGCTACTGACTCTCTTCCCTAGACAGGCTGCTGGCAAGGATAAAGATCCTGCCTTCTTTCCCTTTCTCCTCCCTCCAGAGGGACAGTTTCTGCTTTTGATCTTGCAGGTCTGCTTTTCTCTGCAAAGGCAGACAGAAATTGTACTGAGGCTAACAGTAATATCGACCTGTATGGAGGGATTTTAACTACAGTACTTGAAAATCCTTTTCTATTACATCACTTAATTCTGTTTGGAGTTATTAAATCCCCCTTGGCCAAAAGATAGAACAGGAATGTCAATTAGCTCACTTGGGATAAATCTCCATAACCTTATTTTCAGTTGAAGAAGGCAAGGAACTTTCTGCATCACCACATAAAACCCAATCGATTGGCCTCTCTAGGAAACAAAGAACCACTGTCATCACTGATGTCCTGCAGAATCAGGATCCAATGAGCCAAAGGTGCACAGTGGGCTGATTTAAATTGCTTAATCATGATGGAAAGGAGCACAGAGAAGGCTCAGTCTTTAGCTACTCAGGCTCTACATTTGTACCTCAGTTATTTTTCCTAGAAGAGGTGCAATCTCCTTTGAACCATGGTTTAAACCAAGCCCGTGGGGGTACCTGCAAAAGCAGATGCCAAGTAACATATTTATTCAGATTCTTGTTTATGACATGACAGAACAGCACTACATTTGCCATAGCAGATCAAAGCACTGGTTTTGTCTAGCTGGATGTGGTCAGAGTGAGCAGACACAGCACTTCCATTTGTTTTTCACTCACTAGAAAGACGACCTGAACTGTCTTTATTGACTCGAAAGATTAGCTGGGGAGCACATGGCCAAGTTCCCTACCTGAGGCAGAGCTGGAAAGGAGCAGGAATCCAAACTCCCAATCAATCTCTGCAGCATGTGAAGCAGAACAATGTAGCAGCTTGCCCAAGGTACACTTCTCCCACCTTTTGTCTGCAATTCCCCACTAACGAATCCAGCCCTTATTTTCCAGAGCAGATGGCAAGACAATGACAGCACTGCAGGGCCGTGGTGACCCAGGCACAAGTACCTTACTGTCGAGCTTCTTCATGGTGACCAGGTCCAGGGACTTGAGCGAGTGTCCGGTGGGAGCAATGAAGTAGAGGCAGGCGTGGATGCGCGTGTCGTGGTAGTTGAACAGGGATCTCTTGATCTTCAGCTCTTCCTGCAGGTAGGCTTCGAACTGGGCATCAATGTATTCCACTATAGGCTTGTAGCTGCAGAGACAAAAGCAGGGAATTGCCTGCTGGCATCACACTGATGGATACTCAGCTCTCCACTTCAGGTGTGTGGAAACCACACGAGGCTGCTACCCTGACAAACAACGCCTTTGGCAGTGCCTCCAATTCAAGTGTCAGCTGATGCTCTGTCAATCTCTCTGAAAATCATCTAATATAAAAAAATCTCAGCATGAAATCATGACCTACCCCCTAGCTTGTCCAAAATCTCATCATCTTAAAGGAGAGAAGGGACAGTCACAAGATAAGAGGGAGTTTTCAGGAACTGAAGCCTGTCAGCAAAGCTCAGAAGTCAACCGCACGACTCATGGACTTTGACAGGACCATTTTGTTGGAGAAAAAGCAGCTCATGCAGTGTAACATGTCCTTATCCAATTTAAGTGTTTGTGCTTCTGGAAAGCAAACTGTTCCATGTGTTCCCTCTCCACCAAGGGCAGCTTCATGGATATCACTAGGTGGGTCTGTAAAACGACTGCTGCTCTGGTTTCTTGGCATATGGGAATTCTGTCTCTGACCACGAGGCACTGAAAACCTCGGAGATACGTGCAAAGATAAGGCCTCACATTAGGAGAAATATTAGAAGAAAGCCCCATAAAAAAAAGCAGAGCAAAGGAGGATTGGGAAGCCTCAAACTGGAGGACAGAGCAAATCACATCCAGGACACAGCAGGAGAAGGAAAGCTCTCCCTAAGCCCTGCTGCCCTGGGCCTGCCCTTCTCTCCACAGAGTTAGGAGCAGCATGGCTTTTGGGGTTGGGAAATGCCCACAGAGGGAGGCCCTGGAGACCCGAGAGTGCAGCAGCACAGGGATTTCCCTCCCAGCAGAGCTGAGCTCACCTGTCATCCTTGTTGATCTGATCTCCAAAGCCCACCGTGTCCACAATGGTCAGCTTGAGGCGCACGTTGCTCTCCTGGAGCTCGTAGCTCCGCGCTTTCAACCTCACGCCGGGCTCGTTGTGCGTGGCGGGCTCGCTCTCGAACTTGGTGTTGAACAGGGTGTCCATGAGCGTCGACTTGCCAATGCCAGTCTCACCTGAGCAGGCAGAGCAAGAGTCACGATGGGGCCACTGCCCTCCCTGCCTCCTTCTCTGGCACCTTCACCACGTTAAGGAGTTGTGCCACTCGGGCAGCACTGGATTTAGGCTACATCACTAAGCAAGATAATCCCTGCGGGAACAGATGTCTCCAGACACAGTCCCCATCGTCACCAGAGACCCAGCAACTTGTTTTGTGCTAGCAAGTTGCAAATTCTCCTAACTCCATATCTGATTTTGTTTCAGCCTTTTTATGTTTTGCTGTCTCAAGAAGATCATCCAAAACCCATAGTGCAACTTAAGACAATAAAAAATCTGAGACAGAGAAATCTATACAGAGTTCTTAAAAAAAAAAAGAAAAGGCACACTGCTTAAATACCAACTTTTTAAACTATTACAGTTTCACTAATCCCCTGTGCAATTAGTAACATGGATGAAAGCATTAGCCTAAATCCCACTTTTCAGTCAAAACTGTTTGTTTAGCAATTACACTCTCAAACAGCTATTGCTACCCATGCTGTGAGCAGGGGTGGGCTGAGGCAACTCACAAGGAAAGCCAGGTCCTAAACTGATGGCACAGGCTGCCCATGACTCAAGCTGCGAATTTTAGGGAGCTCCTGATGTGAACTGCTGTGTTCTATGCCAGATAGGCTCTGCAACATTTCACATCCCAATTACAAGTCTCAAATCATCACACTGAAGTTAACTGTGTCCCCTCTCAAATCACAATTTTTAACAATAATTTTTTTCAAGGGTGAGATTTCTGTTCCTTGGCCAACTGCAGCAGTTTGTGTGAGACTTTAATATGGGGTGAAAATCGGTGGAGGAGCACATTTCACATGAAAAAAAAGAGGTGGATCAAATTGCTAATGGAGACATATTAAGTCACGCTAAGAAAGGCATATTTACTGCAAGAGAGAAAGGCAATTAATTGATGCCATTTTGATCAAAGAGCTGCCTGCTAATCAGGCTGTTCCCTGCTGGATTGAAATGGTTTCATGCTGCTACGAGAGTCACGTGAGGGTTGGGAGCTCGAGTGTGCAGAAGTGCAACTATTCTCTTATCTCCTCCTTTCACATGCAAAGCTACAGAGAGGAGTCGAGTTTGCCAGATTTCTTTTCAGGCAGCTCACAGAAATTCTCAATTTGCTGTAGAAAAATCACAGTCAGAGGGTTGTGGGTTTTTTCCAGCTAATTAATGTAACTAATTAGAAGGGACAATACTCTGCTCTTGGAGGCTTAAATGAACAATGAGTTGAAAGATGATGTTTGCAGACTGCACTGCCAAGCTAAGAGAAGAACCCAGCAGTTCTGTCCGTTTGCAGAACCAGATTCTGGGGTCACTGACAAGCCAAAGCTGGCTTGGCTCACAGCTCTCTGGGGCTGAGCAATGGATTTCCAGCTGCAGGGTATCCCCAGAGCACCAAGACAGCAGCTCCCTCCCCACAGCCAGGAGAAAATGTTGCCTCCTCGTATTTCACCCTCTGAACTATTTGGGAAAAGTAACTCAGGCTATTAAACCAGCTTGCAGATTAAATACAGCAGAGGACAGGTGGCTGGCTTTGTTCTCCTGTAGATCATTTGGGGACTAAAAATGGCATCGTTTCCAAGAGGAGAAATTAAGAATGTAAGGAGACAGGCAAACCCTGGAAGGGAAGGAATGCAATTTGGTGAGAAACAGCCTCCACACCCAACCCAGAGAAAAGCAGATTTAAGTGAATATCCTTTTAAAAATACGTTTAGTTCCCAAGTTCACTCAGTTTCCTTACGGGCAGCCTTTGGGGAAAGCAGAACTGCTGGATGATCCAAGGGATAGATTTGAACAGGTAGCAATTTCCATGCTTTGACTTGGGGGACAGGGCAGAGAAAGAGGAATACTGGATTTCACCGTGGAGCAGCTCTGGGAAGAAAGTGTCACTTCGCTGCCAGTATGCTCTGCAGTGGCTCAGCCGTGCCCTAGGTGTGAATGTGAGGCTGTGCCCCCTGAGGGTGACCTACCCACACAGAGGATGTTGAAGCAGAAGCCCTGTGACGTTGACTTGTTGACCAGCTGGTCCGGGAGGCTGTCGAAGCCCACGTGGCCGGACAGGGACAGGTTCCTGAGGTCATCGTTCTGTAAGACCCAGAAGAATAGCATTTAGCAGGGCTGCAACACCCCTGGCAGGGAAAAAGTCCTGTCAGGACTGTGTTAAGGACACAGAGGCTTTTGAGATGCAGGATCAGAGATTAGGTTTCCCTCCCAAATGCACTCTCCTTTTCCTTCTATCCACCTCTTCTTCTGTGGGGCTCAGGAGCTAAAAGCTAAAATCCTGAGCCCACGGCAAATGAACACCACCACAGTGGTTCTCCATGCCTGTCACCAATAAACCATGATTCTTTACCCATCTGCAACACCCAAATGCTGTACCCGAGGTCCCAGCATCCCACATCCCCGGGGTTACCCTAAGATTATTTAGGCAGACACCTGGAAAAGAGAGGGGAACAGGATCAGAGCTGTGAGCTGACCAGTTCCTGTTTAGTTGGTGAAGCAGCTGAGGCTGCCTTCTTTGTGTCCACTGCACAGCTCCACAGAAACCAGCCAGCCTTCCCCTTCCCAACTTCCCCAGCACCATGGCAAACTCCCCAGACTTCCCAGGGAGGCTGGCTGTCTCCAGAATCACACTGAGGAGTGACACAGGTTGTGATATGGCCCTGCTTGCAACTCCAAAAGCTATTCCCGACAGACACCTGTGCAGGGGAGCAGAGAGCCAAGGTGGTGCTTTCCTTGGCTCAGTGTGCCAAAGGGAAGGAGCAGCTCTCATATTTGCTCTGTCCTCCCAGGACCACAAGGGAAATGCCAACATTCTTGCCCCTTTCCTGCAACCCCTCAGCATGACCACAGCAGGACACAGCTCAGATAGCAACTGTGCCACTAGAGCCAGCTCAGACTTTTTGCAGCTTTTCCAGGCTTGGACAGGAAGGGAATAAAGCGAGCATGCAGCTCTGCCATGCCTTGCTTTACAAATAACCTCATCTGACATGAGGTGAGGAAGCAGGACAGCATTCCCAGTGTTTCCTGAGTGACCTACAAAGCCCCTGGTGCTGCCTCTGCCTGTCCTCAGCAGGAAAAGCAGCCAGGCCAGGCTGCCCAGAGGTGCCAGTCACCCCTGGTGACCCGCTCTCCTCCCTGGCTGCCAGGGGCTTCAGCTGACATCCAACACCCCACAGCTGCTCCGTGGAAGCCAAGGCATCAGCACAGACCTTGCAGGAGGGAGGTTTGACACAACCCCAGATTGTATTTGGAACCTTCCCACAGCAGTTCTATGGCAATCCACAGAGAAGTTTGGAAAAACAAGCCAGCCCAGTTACCTCTTCCCTGGCAAGTCACAGTTATGCCAAGGTCCTGAGCACAGCAAAACAAAAAAACCCATCAGTTTGGTAGACCTGGAACAGCTCTGCTGTTATTTCACAACATTTTTCACCTACAGTTTGTTGTCCTTAGGTTAGTATTTTCCAAATTTTCTTCAAACCCAAACCCTTCCAATGGAGTCACTCCACCAAGGCCACAATAAATTACAGTCGTGGGCAGTCTCAGCCTGGTTTAAAGATGCTGGAAGCACCAGCTTATTTCCACAAAATCAATGGGCTGTGGTCCAGACATGGACAACTCTTTGGTTGTTAAAATCAAAAGCAGAGGAAGACTTCCCACTCTCTGCACAATTGCTGAGCAGCTCCACTTCCCTCCTCAAAACATAACAGACCAGCCACCAATTGCAGGGAGAAATGAGTTACATCTGGGCTGAGTGTTGATGAAAATAAACTCAGACCTAAAGAAATATAAAAATTCCCTGAGAAATGAGACATCTCCAAGGGAAAATAGCTCAGTCTGTGCAAAGGGCTTCTTTGGGCCATGCTGACACACAGAGCCTGGCACCTGTGCCAGATACCTGAGCCTTCTCCTAAACCAGGCTTGTGGTAGGTCAATGCCAGTTTACCAGCCTGTTCAGCTGCATCCCTCTGTGTGCTGGGAGCTACTCACCAGCACCACACCACAGAAGATAAGGGTGGTTAAGAGATGCCACCTGCTTCACTCAGGTGAGGTAAATAAAAACCACCCAGAAAGATCCTCACCTCATTCATCCACAAAAGGGATTTCCCTGGAAAAGGCCCTGGGACTGATGTATGAAGTGAATGGGTTAAATTAAATACTTGTAACATCTGTGTTTCTAAAAAACCATGGTGGGCTTGGGTTTATGATCCAGGAAAGGGATCTCAGAGCAGATCCCAGAAAGCAGTTTAGGGCCCATGACTCACAGGCTTCACACAAAGTGGTGGGTGTTGAACATCTCTCAGCACAGCACCAGTATCTCTTTCCCTGATATATTTTGGGAAAGCAAGTCCTGCCTCATCATCAGTTGCTCAGCAGGAACAGGAGTTATACTCATCTCTTGCATCTATGTCAGTTATTTTTGTTGCAGACCTTCTCCGGTTTATTTCCCACTCCTTGCTTTTTTTTTTTTTTTTTTCCCTGCAAGTGGCAAACATCAAGAGTGGAATAAACAAAAATTATCTCTGCACTTTGCAATGCCAAGTATTTTTCACAGGCTGTGCTGCACAACAGGAGACAAGAGTAGCCTGATATCTGCTCAAAACATCAAAACAGTGGTGAAAAGATCTGAGGCCTGAGGCACAGGCAGAGATGAAACACAAAGCCAAGCATCCACCTCCCTCAGTGTTCCCAGGATGCAGCACATCTCCCCGAGCAGAGCAGACACAGAGAATCGCTGCAGCTCTGCACAAGGCCCACAGCCACACAGTTTGGAGGAGGCAGGGGAGCCAAAGGAACCTGATTTCTCAGTCTCTCCTGCACACACACACACACACAAAGGCAGGTGTGCAGCATGCAGATGCCCTGGGAAAGCTGCCACGTTTCTGGGGCAGCTGCAGGCTGCTCCTCTCCAGAGGAAAGAGGGGCACACACTGCAAAACCACCGAGCACTGCAGCCAGGCCTGTGCTCTCACCTCTTCATCCCAAGGAAAGGAAGCCTCTGTTGGAGAGCAACAAGCCTGATTGCTCAGGGTATCAGCAGCAGGGCAGGCAAGTGATTCACACTCTGGGTCTGGCAGAACAGAAGTGTTGTAACAACAAGGGGATGCTAAGTCAGATGGCCCTGCCTCCCCAGCTGTGAGCTGCCATGACAAACTCCTGAGCACAGTCAGTGGCTGGCCTTGATCCCAACTGAGTCATGCCACGGAAAACGGGCTCAAGAGCAGTCAAAGGCTCACACGGCTCCTGCTCCACCAACAAGCCACGGGAATGCCACAGGCATTGCTTTATTACTCCTCCTGCCACACGGCTCCTCTGCCCCAGGAATCCAGCAGTGCTGCTCAGGTGCTGCAGCCCAGGTGCAAAGGCATCTCATGACCCTGCCTCGCTGCCTTCTTCCCCAGCACATCCCTCATTTCCTCTCAGATGAGCAGAGCCCAGCACTGCACCTAAACATCCTGCTGGACTAAAACAACTTCCCAGGAGTCACTCACACAAACACAGTCCTGGGACATGCCTTGGTGACCACAGACAAGTGGCAGTGTCTCAAGTACTGACCTCTTACAAGCACACTTAAGGAGTAACTGCTTGGCAAGCACCTCTCCTTGCTCCCAGCTTCAGGATCCATGGACAAGATGAGCACGGGTAAAACTGCAGCTCCACAGAGTCCTGCACAGATCAGCCAGTTTGCACCAGATGTGCTGCTAGACTTGGGTGTCTGGAAGTTCTCACATGTCACATGGAGAGCTCAAGACATCCCAAAAGCAGTGTGTATTTTTAAACTCCTCCTTAAGGCAGTCACATCTCCTTTACTGAATCCTGCATTACAGGGCATCCTTTCCCTCCCTCTTCCCCTAGCATCCATGAGCAGGAAGTGATTCTGAACATGCAGAGCTATGTGCTAACCCCTACAAAAACTATGGAGTAACATGAACAAAAAAATGCTTGTTTCTTGGGAAAGATGCTGACCACTTGACTTCTCTTTGCAGAGAGCCCTACAAGGCATCCCACAGTCGATATTTCTTGGATCAACAACAATCTCTGAGCTGCTGTTATCACAGCTGCTGGTTTGAACTGCAGCAGGGGAAGGGAAGGGGTAAGTTAAGCAGAGCCAGGCCCCCAGAGGCACAGCAAATACCATCACTATACCTACCATCACTATAAAGAGACTGATTGTCAGGAACCCACGTCCCACTGCTCTTCATTTTATAAGAATTCATTTTTAAAAATGCCTTGCAAAAGACAAGAAGGGGTTTGCAGTCTCAGAACTCTGTCAAGACTTTTGTAGATGTTTTTCTTCACACACAGCTCCTGGTGGCAATGGTTTCACAGGTCAAGCAATGCAGTAATGGATGCTCTGGGGCAAACAGTGGGTTTGGCTGGATGGGAATCAGTGAAGCTATATAAAACAATTGAGCTGATGAGGCACGTGCAAGGAGAGTCAGCTCATTCCTCCCAAGCCACAGTGGCTTGGCAGAGCCAGCAGGAATAAAGAGAAAGTTCTCCTCCCAGGAGTCAGGAACAGTGTGTCTGTGTGCAGATGGGGAGCTGGAGATAAAGGTGGGTCCTGTGCCACCCCTCCAGAGGCAGCACAAAGCAGAGCTGAGTCCTTATGCTTCCCAAAGTGCATGGCAGCTGACTGGCAATAAAGCCAAGTTGCTCCTCTGCTAGGCAGGAAAAAAGCCCCACTCCCAAAAGGCCAAGGAGAGAGTTCCACAAGGACATTTATTGTCCCAGTTTCCAGTCTGCTCTCCTTGCTCAGGCCTCAACCATGATGGTGGCTATTCCCCAATCCAAGCAAGCTCCTGGCTGAGCCCCTTTTGCTTTAAGGCTGCTGGTAAAACATTCCCCTTGGGCCCCTCCCGGCCCACTGCTGCTGCCGGCTGGGGGTCAGCTTCACACGGCCTCCCAAGAGTTAAAGAAAACAAAAACCAGCCTCACATTCATGAGGGGGAAAAAGCTGGTATGCAAAATATTGAGCTCAACCCCAAATATGAAGCAAGTGTTTAGTTATTTGAGGCCACACGACTTAGGAGGCACCTTTAAGAAATTCTAAAAGCTTTTATTGTTGTCAGCAGCTCTGACCA